TGCAGCCCAGGCCGGCGGGGGGGCAGCGCCGCCTCAGCCCCTCACGGTGCCCGGGCGTGTCGCGGTGCCAGGGCCCGGGTCTTCCTCCTCGCCTCCCTCGGTAGCCAGGGCGGGCGGTGAGTGATGCTGCGCCCTTTGCTGGGGCCGGCTGCCTTGTCCCGCTCCTGTTAGCGGAGCGTGTGGCGGTACCGCCGCGGGGATTCTGCAGCTTAAATCACCTTGGTCCCGCTGCCTCCGGCCGCTGCTCCCCGCACCCGCTGCACCCTGAGCGAGGGAAATGAGGAGAGCCATTCACTAGGAATGCCATCCCTGAGGAGTGCCCTCCCTTGGGAATGCCATTCCTTAGGAACGCCATCCTTTGGGAGTGCCGTCCCTTATGGCTTGGCAAAGGGCACCAGAGGAACGAGGGAATAATGTCGGGGCGTCAGGAAAAGGAAGCCAGTCCATGGATAGGGTTGTGTCCCTGCGTGTGCCTCTGCCTCGGATGAGCAGACAAGGTTGTGGATGATATTCCCTGTGGATATCTTTTGTTCTGGTTCAGCTGCTGCTTTATTTGGGGTGAAATATGGGCTTCGCCTGTAGAAAACAAAATTTTCTGTGACTTCTATCTTTCTCTGCTGCACGAAGGGGAAACACTTCCATAGCTTATCAGAGAGTATTGTTTAGTAAATGATTCCTATTTGTAAACCAGCCGGCATTCCAGGTGGGATAGTGTGGCCCTCGTTAAAACAAAAAACACTCTGTCCTCCTCTACCTCTTCCCACTGCCCAGTTCCAAAGTGCTTTTTGTTTAGTGCTTATATGGCAATAGAAACTTAAGGCATTAGCTGTGGATATTAACTGATTGCATATTGGAGTCAAGCCCCAAATGGATGCATTTTCTTAAATTGAAGAGGCAAACTGTATTTTGGGAGTTGATGGCTCTGGTGAGTGTTACTCCACACGGTCTTCCCTTCTTTCTTTTACCTCTTGTAGTCACCTGTAGCTTCCCTTACTGTATAGGACCTGGTGATGTTCTCACACAGGAGACTTCCTTAGGACCCAGGGAGCGGCTGCAGCTGGCCCAGCAGGGATTTAGGTTGGCTTTTAGGGCAAGGCTCTTCTTTCCCCAGAGGCTGCTGGCACTGCCCAGGCTCCCCAGGGAATGGGCACGGCCCCGAGGCTGCCAGAGCTCCAGGAGCATCCAGGGATGCCCAGGCTGGGCTTGTTGGGGGAGCTGGGCAGGGCAGGGTGGCACTGGATGGATCCCTTCCAGGGCAGGACATTCCATGATTTCTGTGATAGTTTATACCAGCAAATTGATACCAAATTCTCTTCTTTCTGTTAAAATTTTCCCACTGCACCTGCAGAGCCCTGTCTGAGGTGTGGGAGGAGGAGTCTTGCCTCTCTCTGCATGCCCACTCCCAGCTGCGGGAGGGGGATACCTGCCCATGGATGCTGACCAGGTATCCTGACTGCATCCCAAGCACAGGCAGAGAAAACAGCTGCATTTTCTGTTTGCTCAGAGCTCAGGCTGTGCAGCCATCACTGTAAATCCTAGCAGGCTGAGGCAGTCCAGCCTGTGTGTTCAGCCCTGGATTGCTGTCCCTGATTTTGGCAGCCTGACAGGGGTCATGTTTCGTGCAGACGAGCGGTTTCCGAACAGTTTCTCCAGTGTCTGAGGCTGCCCTGGAGCTGAGTGGGCTGCACCCTGCGCTTGCTGCTTCATAAACCACACTCCATTCTTTCAGCTCCTGTGTTTCCTCTCTGATATCCCACTGTCTTTCTTTCCACATAAGATCCTTTGCAGAGTAACTGTTTGCTTGGTAATTTTCCTTTAAGTCCTGGTTCTTAGATAAAGTAAGAATTGGGGTCTCAGAGCCATGACCTGCAGTGCTTACTCTGTCTCTCGCTGCTGTTTGGCCTTTCCTTAATGCCTCTAATCGTGCAATTAGGATGGATTTGGATTGAGGAAAGAATGTGAATCTAGCAATGAAATATTTCTAAATCGTGACGTTCTATAGCCTTTTATGGTGTGTCTTTTGTACTGTAATCAGGGATTGTAATTTTAGCTTTTAGTAGGATAACATCAGGAAAAAGAGGACTAGAAGAATAAAGAAAAAAATTATAGGAAAATACAAGCAATGGGTTGAGGAATGGGGAGATCAGTGGGGAGGAAGTTTTCTCTAAGAAACCATTCCCTGGCAGGGTGGGCAGGGGCTGGGATGGAATTGCCCAGAGCAGCTGGGGCTGCCCCTGGATCCCTGGCAGTGCCCAAGGCCAGGCTGGACATTGGGAGCTCCTGGGACAGTGGGAGGTGTCCCTGCCATGACAGGGGTGGGATGGGATGAGCTTTAAGGTCCCAGTCTGGGATTCTGGAATCAGGAGTTGCAGCCACAAACACTTCCCTGTGCTGTGTGAAGTACCAGAGCAGAATGAACCATCAGCAGATTGGTTTGAGGGGCACAGATTGGTTTCAGCTGGGGGCTGCTCAGAGTTGACCTGCTTGGAGCCCAAGAGATGGGAGGGGTTTTGCTTTCTTTTTACCATAAAATAACCCAAGGGCTGCCTCAGCTGCTGTTGTGTGCTGGGAGCTTTGAGTGCTCGTTGCTCTTGTGTTGGACACAGCTGCTGAACTTGGGATGCCCCCTCCACAGCAACTTGGTTTTGTTTTTACTTGCCAAGCATGAAATTGGGGGGTGGGGTGGTGGACAATCAGAAATGGGGTCCAGGCTGAGATCTGGTGATGAATGACTTGTGCACAGGAAACCTCACTGTGAGGTGCCAAAACCTCTGTGGGATTTGTGGCACAAGGAGTTACCCTCTTTTAAAAGTGCACTTTGTATAATTTAAAAAGAATACACTCAATTGCACCGGTTACTTTTGGCTGGCATTGACAGTACAGGCACGTGTTGGGATTTTAATTGCGGATGGAAGGATTTATAACAGTATTTGCCAGGCCCTCATACAACAAACATAAGCTGGGAGGTTTGGGAGGGCATCAGTGGAGGTGTCTGGTGGATCCAGCTGTCTGGAATGAATCTCTCCCTGGAGCTCTGGAGGTGGTCAGGTTCCTGACAGAAATTCCAGCTTTAGCTGCAGGAAAGCACTAATTACTGGTAGTAATTAGAAACTAATCTCTCCTATGCAAACAGGGCATTGTCTGTCCTCTCCAGAGGATCAGCTTCTTGACCAGAATAGAAAATTTCTGTTTAATAGAAATTAAATAATTTTGAGTGGGAAAGAGTGAAGAGAGGTATTCTTGGGCATTCCCAGGAAGAAACATTATTCTATTTTTGATGCAAAGGGTGCATTTTTACAGCATTCCCTTCATTGCAATCAGTCACAACACAGAAAACTTAACTGACATAGCACATCCATGGTTTGGTTTTCTCTTACCACTTACATGCGTTGGATATTATATTTTACTTTTTCATGTGTTGTTTTTAAGGTAATTGAATTAATTAGTGTCCAAGTGGACATTTTTTCCCTGTGAAGTCTACTTTTCAATAAGTTGTGTGGTAAAATGCGTGTCTGGAATTGTGAGATTATCATGAGTGTCTGAAACCTCAGTCTCTGCTGTGCTTCTCTTCCACAGCACTTTCCAAACCCCTTTCTCTGCACTGTCCCTCATGGCTGTGTGTGCCCACAGTTGTGAGAGCTCTCCATCCCATGGGTTTGTAAGAGTAAGGTTTTGTGGGATGGCAGTCCTGGAAAATCATAGGCCTGATGGTATATTCCACGTTCCAGGGAAATCTACTGCTACTAATAATGTAGATTTAGCAAACCCTAATGACACTATTAAAATAATTCCACTGAAGACCCTTTGTCTCAAAAGCTCAGGTTTTCCTTCATGTTTTGATCCTTCAGATTTCCAAGGGGATTCTCTCCCTCAATGTCTTTGAAGGATCCAGCCCTGGGCATGACTAATTGGCTGTAAATGACTGGACAAGGGTTTGGCTTTGTATCATCTCAAGGTACAGGTTCATGTGCTCCATAGAAATGCACAGTTTGTAGGAAATAGTTATTAACACACTTTCAAAATACACAGAACACCTGGATTTACACCTGTAATTCCTGAAGGAGGGTTCCCTTGCAGCCAGCTGGGATGGTTGGCACCTCTCTGCAGGACTCAGAATGAACCTTCTCTGGAGCACATGGTTTTCTCTACTTCCATACAGAACTGTAAATATTTACTGCAGTTAAATATTCCTGTGAAATAATCCGAACTACCAGAGGGCAGGGCTGGATGGGATCTTGGGCAGGAATTGTTCCCTGGCAGGGTGGGCAGGGGCTGGGATGGAATTGCCAGAGCAGCTGGGGCTGCCCCTGGATCCCTGGCAGTGCCCAAGGCCAGGCTGGACATTGGGAGCAGCTGGGACAGTGGGAGGTGGCCCTGCCATGGCAGGGGTGGCACTGGGCGGGCTCTGAGTTCCCTCCCAGCCCAACCCATCCTGTACTTTTGGGAGTGGTAGTCCAGGTTTTCCAATCTCCCTCTGGAATCCTGCAGGAATCCTGACACCCAGAGGGTGCCCATGGCAGAGCTGCTTTGGGGAAACAAGAACTTTTTGTCTTTTCTGACAGCACCTTTAGGTCTCTCTGTTTGAGTCCTTGGAACCAGTGTGTGAGAGAAAGGTTTAAGTGATGTCTGATTGTGTGTTTGCAGAAGAGCTCCCACCCATCTTGGGGGGAAGGAGAAGAGGCCTCTCTTGTTTTCGGCCTGATGCTCCTCCTGCCAAGCACACACGGACTTTTTGTTCCTTGCCCTCCCAGCTGAACTGTGGAGATCCAACCTTGG